ACCGCATGAAAGTTTAGGCTGACCGCCACCGTACAGACAGAGAATTTGCGGTGGGGGATGCAGTGTTGCTCAAATTGCAGCCTTTCATCCAGTCATTAGTGGCACAGCGGCCGCACCAGAAGCTCGCCTTCCGCTACTATGGCCCATACAGAGTGTTGGCTCGAGTCGGCGCAGTGGCATACAAACTCCAATTGCCTGCTTCCAGCCGTATCCACCCGGTGGTGCATGTCTCACAACTGAAAAAGGCCTTTGGAGCCACGGTACCAGTAAGTCCTAATCTTCCTCCAGATAACTCGATTTTGCAGACAGAACATGTTCCGGAGCTGGTGCTCGACCGCAAGATGGTGCACGTGGCCGGCGACACACGCCCTCGCATTCGGGTGCAATGGAGCAACCTTCCCTCGTCGCTGTCAACTTGGGAAGATCCAGTGGCGCTGCAGCAGCGGTTCCCCTCTACGCCGCCTTGTCACGGCTGTCACGGCTACCCCACCAGCCGCGACGGCCCCACCGGCCAGTGGGGCGACCGAGCCACGACCGGACGGAGCTGACGGAGCCCAGACAAGTGGAAAGGAGGCGATCGGTGGACCCGCGTAGTCAGGGCGCGTGTGTGTGTGGCCTGCGTGCCGTGGGTATTTCTAGGCGCTTCTGAGAGAGAGTTGGCATCGAGAATTATGACGTCAAATTGATTAAGAGAAGCTGATCTTCTCCTCTAGCCTCCTTCGTCCTCCTTCCCCACCTAACCTCTTCTTGGATCTAGATCGGGACCCTTACATTATGGCACTCTGTTTTTGTAACAGTAATGCAGATGGTCCCTTTCTATGCTGAATACACAGAGCGTAAAGACTGAAGAGATGTCAGTGTCATTATGCAGCTTAAAATCTAATGGACATAATTATTTCCTTATTTTGTTTAGGGGAGAGAACAGAATGATTCTGTCTGTAGCTAAGACTAAGCACTCCTTAAGTTTGATGTTTGTCACTAGCTACTACCTATACACCCAACCCCTAGTGTGTCCATAATGTCCTATTTGGCCAAGACTAGATAGACGAGGACTCCGCAAAGCCTACTTTGAGAGCTGGGTGTACACCAAGCACCCTTTGGTTACACTTGGCAAACGCTTTACCGAGCGGATATGGGCCATCGTTAAGTATTCCTGGTACTCGGCAAATTCCTGGATTCTAGTAGTGGCTATGTGTGGTTGTGCTCAGCAAAACCAAAAATGGCTACGGCCGCCACCATCTGTAAGAGCCAGAGGCGCGCCTCCTCTATGAGGCCGAGTATCCGGCGCCCCTGGACATGTGTGTGCCGGGGGCGTGGAGGCTGAGCGCCGGCGGCGTCCCGGTGCCACCGGTGTCCGAAGGGGCGGCACGGCGGGGCGAAATAGCCCGCATCCGCTCGTCCCTGACAGAGGAGTAGCAGAACGAGCCAAGGTACGCCGTCAACAGCAAAATGATGTGGACGATGTACTTGGAGCGCCGTCGCCAAGAGCAGATCACCTCCGTCAACGGCATCATCCCCCGCGGCCGCCTCAACGCCGACGGGCAGCGCGAGTGGTGGGGCGAGCCAGGCCGCACCCTCGAGGTTGTCCTCGACCACATCGAGACCGGCAACGTGCCGCGTCTCGAGTACCTGCGGCGGCCGTCCTTCGCTCGCTGCCGTGGCAGCTCCTGTATGCCGCAGCGAATGGAGCCGGGGACGTCCTCGTCGTCGGGCTCCAACTCACCGGCGCTCCGCCCGATCAAGCCAGAGCCGGAGGAGACGCCGCTCCGGCGCCGCACCTGCAGCGACGCCCTCGTCATCAACGAGGGTGCCCGCCCCTCCCCGCGCTCCCTCCGCCTAGTCCGGCCGAAGCACGAGCCGGGCCTCCTCCCCGTGAAGCCGGAGCACGTTCACATGGTGGCCCTCGACGACGAGGCCGCCATAAAATGGGCGGAGGACTACGTCCGCGAGCAGGTGCGCCGCCCGCGCTGGGCATACGTGGAGCTCCAAGCCCGGCGCCGCGGGCGCGAGGAGGGCGGTGTCATCGTCCTCGACAGCGACGAGGAGGATGAGGCCGGGCCGTCCAGTGCCCCACCGCGCGCCGACGACCCTGGCCAGGGGTGCAGCAGGGACGACGGCGGCTCCCGCGAGGCGCGCGATGACGACGACGATGACGACTACACCCGTTTCTACAGGCTTCTCGGCATGTAGATGGCGGGCGATGGACGCGGCGTTGTGGCTAGGCGTAGCTTGGCGTAGTAGTAGGCGTAGTTTGCATGTTTTATCTTTTTTGTACCAATTTTAGTGAAATTTCGTCGAGTTCGTGCCAAATCGCCGAGTTTGCACAAATTTGTACGAGATATCGCCAACCTGGGGAGCGACGACTAGGAATGGAGTCGCCCCCACGCGCCAAGCTAGCGCCGGTTCGCCCCTAGGCGGCTCTTTTTCGGTGCCCTGGGGGGCCGAACGGCTGGAGATGCTCTGATGTTGCTTTTATCTTGTGGTCGCATGTAGAAATGCATTGACCACTTTATTGTTTATTAAGTAGGCATTTGTTCTAAAGAGCTACCTTGTGACCTCAAAAGAAGTTCGTGTGAATTATTTTATATAATGATTATGTGAGTTTGTTGTTAAACATTGAGACTTGAAATGCATGTTTGTGTATTGTATATATATTTTTGCGACAGGGATTCGGGTGAAAGCAGTACAAAAGTTGTCTAGGAACGGATCTTTTTTTTTTGACTATTTACTGTAGAGCAACAGCCCCACAGTCCTTTTATTCCAGAAATTTTTGCCCAGGCATGTTTAAATCCGCTCCCACCGGGAGTCGAACCCAAGACCTGGGGTGCTACTAATTAAGGTTGCTGCAACCACTAGGCTACAGTAGTTGGCTATGGCAGCTTTGCTGAGAGCCACTCTCGGCAAAGTGGCATGCGCTGGCGGTTGGCTGCGGCAGTTTTGCCGAGAGCCACTCTCGACAAAGAGCTGATGGAACCAGCCGACGTGAAAGTCACTTTATATTGCCGGGTGGTACTGTTTGGTTCTCGGCAAAGTCTTTGCCGAGTGCCCGTGTCCTGGCTCTCGGCAAATTCCTGTTTGCCGGAGAGGTGTACGCCGGGTGGCTTTTGCCGAGTGCAGCACTCGGCAAAGGCTTTGCCACCGGTTCTTGGCCCTTTACCGAGTGTCCGTGGCACTCGGCGTATAGCTCGATTCCAGTAGTGGTACGTGAATGGAAGACGTCATAATTGTAGGTTTTTTTTAATCATACTTGCATATACGGTAATACTCCCTTCATTCCTTTATATAAGCTGTATTTATCTTTTTGATAAAACTCCGCAATGTAAGGGGCATTTCTTCTCATTTCTCGTAATTCTGGTTTTAACCCTTCAGAAAGGAAAGTATCTCTGCCGATTGCGTGTATCTTTTCCTTTCCTAGCAAAATGATTTACTTGACGCTAATCAACAAATTATCCAAGGGTAATTTCGTCCTAATAGGAGATCGTGTGCACACCAACAAGAGAGCACCAGGGCATGGACAAAGTAAACTGGTAATTCCCTACTCGTCCGACGCCCGGGAGGGTCAATAGCCCCATGCTAACGAAGCAACAAGCAAGATATCTAGACCCAGAGCCGAAGAAATTAGTAAGTGACAGAGCCGGCGATGGATAGATAGGAGCAAACTAGGTAATTGTCACGCATCATGCAGGTAGCTGAAGAAATGTTTCGCTTTCTTTGTGGAAGACCTAGAAGCAAGCACTCTGTCAAATTCTGCATGTACACTTCAAATGTAGTTCAAAACCTGTCATGCTGTACAAAATCCCTTCCTTATGAACATGTAATATACGAATAAAATTCTACTCCCTCCGCCCCGAAGTGTCGCTGATTTAGTATAAAGTTATCCTCCGTCTCAAAGTAAGTGTCGCTGATTTAGTATTTAGTGACATTTATTTTGGGACGAAGGGAGTACTTTATATGAGTGTTACTGCAGGTTAAACATCAAATGGGGCCAGGGCATCTCTAACTGATTGCCTATAATCGGTTTTTCGAAAAGGAGCGCTTTATTACTTAAAAGATTTAAGCATTACATCCGGCCTCTGCATTACTAAGATGCACACAGCCAAAAAATGTATTCTCACACAAATGAATGATCAAAAGGCGAAATACAAAAACATGAAGAGTCCGTATAACGCCTAAAGCGGAGGGGGGTCAATCCTAAGACCATGTTGCCATCCATGCTGGGTAAAAGTATCCCTCGCCGTAGCCTCCAATCGCGTACACACCTCCGTAAACAGGTCTCGATTCTACACGCGTTGTAGAGAGGACCATAAACGAAGAGTCCCGGTACATCTGTAGATAACCTGCCTATAATCGGTTAGTAGCAACAGTTGCTGCTGCTGCGCGCTCTGCAAGGGATCCAACGTCCCTTCCTGCAGGAACAACTGAAAGAAGCATGTCTGAATTAAATGGAAGCTGCGATGAACGGGGTTTGGCATACCCTCATGTGCATCCAGAGCACTGCTCGTTGTGTGACAGCGGCCCGATCAACATTGTATCCTACTCACATGGTTGTTGGCTTTGTTTGGTACCACTAATGGTTTGCTTCTGGGGCAGACTATGATTTCGTAGCTACGACAGTCAATAGAGCAGGAAGATCTGAAGCCAGAATGCGTAGAGGACACAGGACAGGTGCTCGGCGCCACCGGCTCCTGGTACAGTGGTGCTGGCTGAACAGGGGCCAGCTTCGGCTCAAATCGAAGTGGTTTTGTCACAAAATTTGCAATGTTTAAATGGAATGTTTGATTTGAAGGTACAATATAGATACAATCATTTATCCATGTTTTGGAAAAGCAAAGGCAGATGTCAATATACTGGTACAAATAGGAGGTTTAACAAACACCTTGGCTTCAATTTTGTGGCTGCATCGCCTTGGTTAACACATACAAGTATAAGAAAACAACGAATGGTAAGAAATAGTTCTGTATGAAGAAATGAAACTGATACCTGAAAACCAGCCAATGGACCTAGTCATAAAATTTCCAAACCAAGGTAGGACGATTGGGGTGCTCCTTCATTGCTTTCTCCATAGCAGCTTTCAGCTCAAGTTTCGCATCCTTATCATGCTCAATGCAAAGATGGTGCAAGCTGGGCAAAGCTCCCAGTATCTCCACGTCTTGCTCCATGATCGTGTCCATGGGGATGTATAGTTTCTCGAGCTTGATGAGCGAGGCCATCCATGCCGGAACCTTTGAGACCACACCCCCATGGATGGTAAGCTCCCGAAGGCCACACGAAGGATCGGGGAACCATGGACCCTCAAAGTACTCGTTGGTTGCCTCATTCATGTCGATGTGCAAAGACTCGAGGCCAGCTTTGCTGAGCTCACAGATGGAATATATCAACTTCTCCGCATACTCCTCCCAATTGTCTCCAGAATCATAGCTGTTGAATAATATGCTCAGCTTCCTCAGATTTTTCAATTGGCCAAGCCTCTCGAGAAACTGTATTGACTGAGTATAGACATTGAGACCTTCCAACACCCACAGTACCTGCATTTCTGCGACTTCATCCGTCACTGTTACATAATCATCCACAGATAGAGTTACATAACAGGTCAACTGTTGTTGGATGATCACAGGGATTTCCATTACTTTGTTGTATCCATATATGTCAATCTCTAGATGCCGCAGCCTTGCCACTTGTTCTGGAAGCTTTGTGAGGGCATGGGCATGCTTGAACCTCAAGTACTTGAGGTGCCACAAATTGCCAACACCAGCAAGGTGATCATCTTCTAACTGCAAACACTCATTGAAGTCCAGAACACGCAAGAGTTGACACTCCAATAAAGATGGGATTTTTGCATTACTGCCAAACACATGGAGTGAACGGGCATGAGATACATCGAGACCCAGTGGAATCTCTCCATCATTCTGCAAAGACACTCGACGAACCTTGCCCTTTGAGTCAGGATTTACAACACCAGGTACACCTATTACAGTAACAAAGTTCTCTTCGACGGCCTTGGATACAATGAAATCAAAAATAGTGTCATGAAGTCGGCAACTCTCCACCTGATCACCAAATGTCCTGTCTATCTCCATAGGTCGGATCAAGCTCCTATTGATGAGCTCATTGAAACACATCTCTCCAGACTCATGCAATGTATACCCATCCCTCTTGTGAATGAATCCCTAGCCAATCCACCTCCTTATCAGATTCTCCTTCTCGATAGCATGATCCTTCGGAAATATACTCAGGTACAGTAGGCAAGTTTTGAGATGAGGAGGAAGATCCATGTAACTAAGGGATATTATATTTACCATGTCTTTGATGGTACTATTTCTTAGGGCATGACCAATTGAATCATTCACTTGCTCCCATAGTTCCTTTTCACTTTCTCTATGAGCCAATACACCTAATATAACAATGATTGCCAAAGGTAAGCCAGCACATTTATCCAAGATTTGGCCAAAAATTCCTTCAAGGTGTGAAGGGCATTTTTCTTGGGAGTTGAATAGTCTTTCGTAGAAAAGTTTCCTCGAGTGCACCATACTAAGAGGCCTTATATTGTATATATGGCCATGGAAAGAGGAACAACATGATTGGGCGACATCATCTATACGAGTGGTGATCATTACGTTACTGTTAGAACTGATTGTGGGAAATACACACTTGATAGCCTTCCATGTTTCCACATCCCATATATCATCAACTACAATAAAGTACCTGCAAAAATATATAAATAAAATTAATTCTACCAAAAAAAGAGATAGCAATGGAGATTCAATACATCTTGAATCATATACTTGTTTGGTCACATGGTCAGGACAAGTTCCAATGGAATTTGCACTAGAATGGACAACTCACTAGTTGTTTCCACTAGTACATTGTGATGCCCCAAGAAATATAAATAATTTACAAGCTAAATCCCCCCCGGAAAGGTAAACTCTTCATTTGGTATTTACACCGAGGGGTGATCTAAACAAGGGACAACATTGCTAGGCCTAACTGGCATGTGAGTAATCAATGATTTCTTTGTTATAAAGATGAAACAACTAAACATCTCTTCTTCAAATGTTAGCTCAGCTCGAAGCATAAATGCCATTCATGTTGCTTCTAAATAGTATCTGCCTTAGTGTTATGGATGTGTTCTTGGTCACGAGAGAAATAGCAAAACTGCCTGTCTAGATCAAAAATTCAAAATACATTGACGTAGCCACTTCTCTAAGCATGCATGCCGACATAGGTGTCGCGGTAATCACAAAAGTTTGATTGCTGTGTTAAGGGGTAAGGCTAAGCTATCTTTCTCGTTAAGAAAGCGATCCATCCTAAGAGACTAAGAGATCAGCATCATACTAATGACTGTGTTGGGGGTACCGATTTCCTCCTGCTTTGTGTGCGTGCCATTGACTCCTTTAATGGGTCGAAACCTACTTAGTTCTCATTTTTGTTTCATCTATACAAGAAAACAAGGATTTGTGTTTAGGTTATGATTCTACCAGATATGTCTTTTTTATTCCATCAAAAACTATTTTACGGTATAGGCGCTTATGACCTCCCCCTCTATTCCTTGCGGTAATGATTCTTTTGGAATTATGACCTTTATCACAACGGTGCCGTCCATGGATCAAATTATTTCTTGCAGTCAAGCTTTGTTCTGCCTTTGCACTCAAGGACCAATGTCCGTCTGGCCCGACGAAACCTTTGCACGCCTCCATTACCTTTTAGGAGGCCTACGCCCCATGGAAAATGTCTACCCGAGACTGTCCCTTGACCCGCGGTTGAAGCTTATCCGTAGAGAAGTTATGTTACAGAAGTAGGAGAAAATCTATCTACATTTTCAGTCACTTGCATTAGTAGATCCAAGGCATACAGTTACCAACTCGCCCCGGGTGGGTTCTAGGAATGAGAGCACTTATCTATCAAGGGGCTTTAGCACTAAGGGCGAGCGAGAAACTAAATCGAGTGATTTTTTTTTTCACCAGCGCCCTTTTTTTTGCGGGTACTAAGAGTCCTCTCAATACCAACCAGCAAACATCATCATTTGGCTGGGTCTTGTCGGTATCAACAACAAGAAAGAAGAACCATATTACTGGATAGCTAGCAAAACAAATAAAATTGTTAGGATTCGAAGAAGTGGTACCTTTTGTTTTTGAGGAACTCCAAAATCATGTTGATAAGTTGTGGTAAGTCCTCCATACCAGGGGAATATTTCTTATTTAGCTGACTGTAAATGGCATGCATAACTTTGATGATGTCTGGATTTTGTGACACAGATATAAAAACATGACACTCAAAATATTCTTTGAGATCCTGGTACACTTGATTTGCGAGGGTTGTCTTGCCCAGTCCTCCAAGCCCAACAACAGCCACTATGTTTGGTTGCTGTTGCGTAGAGTCACAATCGGCCAACAGTTGAACGAGCTCTTTCTTGTGTCTATCGACATCAACAAGCTTGGACATATCCTCGAACATGTCAAGAGCTCTGGGATCAATGTTGGACGCATTGCTAGCGCTGGAGGCGACGGCCTAGTGGATCTTGTACCTTTTGGCTACATGGACTAGTTGTTTCTTCTTCAGTTCATCGATAGCCTTCACGATCTGATGGTGAGCCTTGGTCCGGTCCAGCATGACCTTAATCTTGTCCATGAATCCGTTCGGCTTGGCGGGGGGTTTGTCGCCGCCGACGGGAGCCATTAACTCGTCGAGGTCGTCCTCAATGTCGTAGGACAGCTCCCGCACCTCCTTCATCCAGGCCTTGTCCTGCGTGCTGGGATCCTCCTCCGTCGATTTCATGAGGACGAACGCTTCTATGGCGGCGAGCTCACTGGTGTGGAGCTCGACCTCGCTGCGCACCCCATGGGAGAGTTTGGAGTCGTCGCTGAGCAAGGCGGCAAGCTTTCCAAGGACGGGTTGCAGCGCCCCGGTCGCTGCGCTCACTAGAGCCTCCTTCATTGCTTGCGCTCGGTAGTCGGATATCGATCCGTTTGTTTTCTCTGTATGCACAACCAAATCCATCAGCAATAAATCCGCTGATATGATGATGATTACACTTGTTAACACTGAGTGATCTAGGATTATGAAACAGGGTGGCCCACCTTAAAAAATAGTTTGACAACATATACTACGTCATGCCAAAATACTACTCACTCAGTCCCATAATATAAAATGTTTTTGCAACATGTTTTAGCTTGTAAAAACGTCTTATATTGTCGGACGGAGTATCAGTATAAAATTAATTTACCAATAGCACAACAGAAATAGATCAATAATGGTCTTGCAAACATATTAAAATATACAGGAGGCAACTTCAGCATAAAAGAAGCCACATACCTTCATCAAAATAAAAAGCTTAAAAAATCTATGTGTCTGGCCTACACTCTGTTGTCTTCATTTTTCACGATTTCTGCAGTAAAATTTACATTCTAGCAACAAAAATTGGACATTGCCACAATGGACTGCAACAGGGATGAAACATAGGCACATAGGAAAACCTGTCCTAATTAGTCGATCAATCGTGAGTTCGATCGTGATTGATCCTGGCGTAATGAATCATGAATTGGGGACAGAGAAAGTGACATACCTACATCGGTCGGACTGCTGGATAGGATTAGGATAGCTAGCTGCTGCTGCTGCACACCGTGGGGCTCCTGGGCAGCTGCGGACTGTGGACTCCGGTAGGCGTCTCCCTGATGCGGCGGTGGTCCGATCGAGTGGATCAAATGGATTCCCTCCCCTGGATCCCAGCGCTGCTCTGATGAGTGGGCAGGGCGGCGGATCGAGCAATGGAGCGCTAGGTAGGTAATCTTCGGGAGGAAGAAGAAACAGGGAGGGACGACTGGGAAGTTGACGGCAAGTCGCCGACCTGCCCTGGTGGGAAATATCTCTGAGTTGATTATTCAACCTCTTTAAAGACACAAGCTAGTGGTACCACTAATTGGTGCACCCAGATTGATACATTGATGCGATGGGGTTATCACCACTACTATAGAGTATAGACCACCGGGGATTTTTCAAATAAATAAAACAAAATGTTCTTTTCTCAAATATTCTTTCCGTACCAAAATAAGTGTTTCAACCTTAGTAGTTGAGACACTTATTTTGAGATGTAGTGAGTATAAAAAAGGCTAGATGCATCTCAATGAACAGTGGGCTCTCTCAATGACATGTGGGCCTAGGGGCCACTCGCAGCCTTCTTTTTCTACCTCTGGCTCTCGGCTTCTCTCTCCCTCTTGCCCGTGGTAGTGCGTGGCGTGCACGATACCAGTGGAGAGAGCCCTCCCATCACGGGCTAGCACCTCGTCAACACCGCTCCTGGATTCGTCTCCTGGCTGTTGGAATAAGCCACGGTGGTGGTGACCAGTGTGTGTGCGCGTGTGATGGCCGTGCCGAGTCCGTAGGTGTGTTCTCGAGTCTGCGTGTATGCCCCGGTGGCGCGTGAGTCCGTGCTCGCGTTCGTGTCCATGGTGGTGGTCTAGGTCAGGCAATGGGTGTTCCGGACTTCAACAAGAGAGTGAGGGTGCGGCTGGAGGTGTTCCGGACTTCAACAAGACTGGCTGCCAGTGGTTGAACGACGTGTGGTTCTCCTAGACCTTGCTCACCGTACACTGAGCTCGGTCTATACAAGACTACGGCGCTGCTTCTCCCAATTCACACCATGCTGCTCTACGATCTCTTCGGTTATGATGAGCTGGAGCCGGAGTCTCTTGGTGATGCCCTGTTCTTGATGGCGCTGCGGTGGCTTCTCACTGCACTACTGACCATGCTGATCGGTGCGTCGCCCTACTTACTGCTGCTCATCTTGGAGGATCGAGCTCGCGGCAATGTGGGCCCTGGCGTGGCGGCTCTGCTAATTTATTCTTGGAATTGATTCATTGCATAACACATAGCAAATCAAATTGACTTGGGAATTTTGGATAAACTATCATCTCTAATTGTCTAGATCCAATTAAATCCAGCTGGTGGTACTTATTTAATCCTTGCGATAGCTCGATTCCCCCCACGATGACAGATTTACTCATTTCAAGCGAGAAGGGGCGACAAAATGGTCCGGTCCGGACCACCAGCATGGTCTGATTTTGATTATTATAAATGAACATTATGAACTACTTGATTATTAAGCAGAAAATTTACATCGAATCTTCATAAATTAATGTTGGGGGAAAATTGCGAGGAAAATCAAATAACACATCAATACAGTAGTTCATCTCATTAATTTTCAAATCTTTAGAAATTAATGCTAGATCTGAAAATTTTGGCGACAAGACTGAAATAGGAAGACATAAATGACTATGAGAGGAAGGAGGTGGGAAACCTTCCATATAAATACAATACACATGTATGATAGACCGCCAACCAGATTAAGAATTAGCCATGGCTCGTAAGGTTTTCAACGTTGTGGCATCCATCTTCATATTGGCGCTCCTCATGTCTTGTGGTAATAAGAAGATAATGGTCTCTTCTCCTCATATAGGACTTTTGCTTATTTAAATAAAAAAATTAACTTTTTTCGTTTGTGCAGATGTGGTTCAAAGCACATGCCATGAGTATACCAGCAAGGTCACTTGTCGTGACTCTTCGACATGTCAGACGTGGTGCAAGTACAATGGTGCTGATGGTGGTCACTGCAATAAAGGTTCATGTGTGTGCCTGGATTGCGGGTGGCGCGTGATGGGTTCGACTTGAGTTGTTCCTTTGTATCCAAAAATGTATCTGGTGACAAATGGTCTTCGTGCTCCTTGAATAAATGTGTTACAACAAATCAATCATTGCTTTGATAGATAGTGAATGTGGTTGTACCCTTCATAACCTAGGATTAAAGCCTAGACTAAAGTATTAGAATAAAAATTAACCTTTTTAAAGCTAGAGAGAGAGAGAGAGAGAGAGAGAGAGAGAGAGAGAGAGAGAGAGAGAGAGAGAGATTCACTAGAGCAGAGGAGCCACCAAAATCGCACCTGAGTCTCTTGGTGGCCATCCAGTCCACACATGCCTCTGGGATGCAGGGAGCAGAGGAGCCGGGAGAGAAAGCTGCCGAGTAGGCGAGGGAATGGTTGTGCCGGCAGCTGTGGTGGAGGTTGCCCGACGCCAATATCTGTAAGTGTTCTATTTCAGCCTGTCGCTATCTAACTAGGGTTCCTGATGCTTGTTCCTTGTTGGGGGTAGTCTGATGCGGAGCACTCGAAAATGGACTCACTGGCAGAGGAGTCTGCATTTTCTACTAATTGATTCCCTTGCATAACACATAGAAAATCAAATAGACTTTTTTGGATTTATTGACCAATTAAATCCAATAAGTGGTACTTACTTATCCCTTACGATTGGTCCATTTCCTCTTCGATGACAGATTTACAAATTTCAAGCTAAAAGGGGCGACAAAATGATCCAGGCCACCGACCCAAACTTATTTTAATTAGTAAATCCCCCATATAAATGAGCATTATGAACTACTTGACTATTAAGCAGAAGATTTATATCGAATCTTCATAATTAATGTCGGGCAGAATCTTTTTGCGAGGAAAATCAAATAACACACACCTCATTAATATTCAAATCTTTAGAAATTCATGCTAGATCGGAAGATTTTGGCGACAAGACTAAAATAGGAAGACATAAATTACTATGAGAGGAAGGAGGTGAGAAACCTTCCATATAAATATAATACGCATGTATGATAGACAGCCAACTAGATTAAGAATTAGCCATGGCTCGTAAGGTTTTCAATGTTGTAGAATTCATCCTCATATTGGCGCTCCTCATATCTTGTGGTAATAAGAATATAATGGCCTCTTGTCTCCATATAGGTATTTTGTTCATTTAAGTAAAAGAAATTAACTTTCTTTCGTTTGTGCAGATGTGGTTCAAAGCACATGCCATATGACTATAAGACCAAAATCCCAGCTACTCATTATAGGTGTTGGGATTCCCGAAGAGGAAGGATGAAGTAGTATAGTAGCAGATAGTATTTTGCTCAGTTGAGAATGAAGGTTTATCGAACCAGTAGAATATGACACACACAACGTGAAGGTACCTGCACACACACAAATAAAATGCTTGCGCCCAACGAAGGCAAGAGGGTTGTCAATCCCCTTCTTCCTACCAATTGCATTGATCAAATCTGGCGGTGAATAGATGTATAAATAAAGTAAAATAAAAAAACAGCGAGCAATTGTAGGATTGTTAGTATTAATGGAAAAGTCAACCCAGAATCCATATTTTCACTAGTGGCATCTTTGTCGTAAGCATAGCAATGGTGGCTAAACAAATTACTGTTGGGCAATTAACAAAATAGCGGATAGTTATGATTGTGATTCTTCATGACATAATTCATATATAGGCATCACGTCCGTGATAAGTAGACCGCTAAACTTACTGCCTTCTACTACTATTACTCCACCCCAAGACCCTATCCAGCAATGCATCTTGAAGTATTAAGTTAATGAAAACACAGTAACGCATTAATCACGATGACATGATGTAGACAGAATACATAATAAGATAAACTAATATGTTCGAACCCCGTCGTTTTGTCCTTAGGAGCAATAATAAAATACGTTCCTTGCAACCTCTCCTGTCATAGAGTAAGTACACCGCAATATTGAACCCACTATTATGCATCACTCATCAACTTGGCCAAATAAAACTTATAGATATTGAAAAGGATACATAGCTATAAACTACACATATACAAATAAGACTCAAATACTTTCAATGAATTATCTGATCATAAACCCACAAGCAATTAGATCCCGACAAACCCACCGCGAGAATTACAACAAATAGATCTCAGAGGAGATCATTGTATCTAAGATCAAGATCGAGAGAGAGAGAGAGAGAGAGAGAGAGAGAGAAAGCCATCTAGGTAGTGCTATGGACCCGAAGGTCCTGTAAGGAACTACTCACACATTATCATGGATGCGGAAAATTAATGAAAATGGCCTCCGTGGTGGATTCCCCCT